GTGGAGTGTGGTCCAGATGATCTGGTACTTAACTCCATTTTGGGTCACAACGTTTGTATTCGATTATTGAGACATTGTCCTTGGCAGACTCTCTTTGTAGTAGAACAGCCTGAGTGTTTCTACTTTCTCCGTGACTTGCGGCTATCCCCAAACCTTGAAGCAGCACGTACTCTCAAAGTACATTATTGGTGCACTAACGGTCACAGTAGAGATAAAACCTCAGCAGGATAAGGTTTATTATTGCTTTTTGGTTTATTGCCTTGAGGCTGTTTGCTATAATTCACATCGATGTACTGACTGAACACTTTGTACATGCTGTAACTCACAATGTTGAACTGATGATCTAAATATTTTAGGCAGCACCTTAGTCTGTGTACTGAATGAACAGTATCTATAAATGTCAGTTTGTTTTTAATTTACATAAGCATGTTTACTGTTATGTACATAGTACATAACTGCCCAGTCGCCATTAGCAGCTTTCCCTCGGTGTCCTTGGTTCAGCAATTTTCCTTCATTCGAATGGAACCAAACGTTAGCTCCCTGGCAGCCGTTCGCATGAACCAAACCCATGAATGGTCCTCAGCAGGTCTTAGCCGCGACCGCTGTGGAACTAATTTCGGCATGAAGTGACCTTGTGGTTCCCGAACAACTTGGTCTGGGGTTTTGAACCACTTTTAAATTCACCAGGAGAGCGCTTTTGGAGGGAAGATGCCTGAGACTAAGGGGTATAAATGTTATCTGAAAGCCAGGCAGAGTGCCCCGTACTATGGATGCAGAAGTTTCCGAGAGTTGACTAGCAAAAGCACCAAGCGTCTTGGAACTATTTTGGACATAGAACCACGTGTGCGGACGTAAAGAACTTTGGCACAGTAGCGATTCCCCTATACTGCATGGATCTGAGGGCTACTTGGAAAACTTGAGCGCTCAGATCAGGGCTATTTTGGTATGTAGGACATGTGGGGTTATTGTATGTTTTTATTATGTTTTGTGGTATTTTTATGTTTTTATGTTTTCTTTTGGGCTCTCTGTTCCTGGGAGATAATTAGCTTACCAGTCTTTTAACTCAATTATCTCCCAGGCCTAGAGATTCCTAGGAGGGACTTGCATTGTATTATTTAGAGACCCCCTACTGGGGTCTGTGCATAAAAG